ACTAAGGTATTTCTCAAATCTCCAACGTTGTTTCTCAACATTGCCTCAAGTGGAGGATCATAGCGTTCTCAACAAAAAGGGCATTTTTCTTTGTATGAAAAAAGTACTGTTTCTCAAGTTGAGAAAATGCTAGTTCTCAACTTGAACTCCAATGTAATTCTCCAATTGGTCTCAAACATATCATTGAAATACTAAATTTAAATAGTAAAATACCTTATACCTTTTTGATTGAAACGACATCCATAGATGAATTTAAATATTAATTTTTCATTTTATTACTCCTTTTGTATTATGTAGTTAATCAATATCGTATTACAATAATTCGATTCACAGTATACAGTCCGACAGTAATTTTGCCACTTCCCAACAAACATTTAGGTTTGAGCTCAACTTGAGCTTAAGTTGAGAACTCAGGTATTTCTCAAATCTCCAACGTTGTTTCTCAACAGTATCTCAAGTGGAGAATCATCGCGTTCTCAACAAAAAGGCCATTATTCTTTGTATGAAAAAAGGACTGCTTCTCAAGTTGAGAAAATGCTAGTTTTCAACTTGAACCCCAATGTAATTCTCCAATTGGTCTCAAACATATCATTGAAATACTGAAATTGAAATAGTAAAATACCTTATACCCTTCTGATTGAAATGCCATACAGGAGATATCAAGATATGGAGTAACCCAAAAAGTATAGCGCGGATTGGAAGCTCGGCCTTTCCAACCTTCCACATAACCTCCGGGCAATGGCATGCTATTGTATTGATATAAAATAATTGCTGTGAAGAAATAATGTTATTTAAAAATTTCCGTAGAGCATATCATGTTTAATATTTAATAATTAAATTTTAAATCTAAATCTAATTCTAAGAATGTTAAATCTTTTTTGTAATATAAGTCTAACAGACTGTAAAAAATAAATAAATAAATAGATGAATTTAAATATTATTTTTTTATTTTATTACTCCTTTTGTATTATATATGTAGTTAATCAATATCGTATTACAATAATTCACTTCACAGTATACAGTCCGACAGTGAATTTGCCACTTGATTCGCTTCGGGTTTTATTTTCTTTCAAGATTATTTGTGGATACTTTGAAGATTATTTACTTTTGTTGGTAATTTTCCTCTTTATATAGCTTTCGTTTTTCACTTGATAATTAAAAATTCGTTTCTCTATCACTTTTTACGTATCTGTGCGTCGGTTAGAGGTGAGTTGGAGAGTGATGTTGGATATCAACTTGAGAACTATGAATTTCTCCAAGGTTGGAGAAATATTTTTTGGGTGTTTATTGGCCTTGGCAAAGCCCTTTAATTTGACACCTAATTTTTGAAAATCGAATGAACGATACAAATTTGATGACATGAACAATCGTGGCATTAAATATTTAACGCGTTAAATCTCCGAACTCAATTGAGAAGTTTCATTGCAATAAAAGTCCCATATAATTATTAAGAGAAGACGTAAATCATTTCCGTCTTGAAATAAACGTCCCACGAGACGAAAAAATGACAGTCCCGCGAGAAAAAATAAGTCCACGATATTTATTATGAGAAGAAAATAATTTCCATGGTAAAATAATAGTCCCGCGAGACGAGAAAAAAAATCACAGATAATTATTAGGAGAAGATGAACAAGTTTTTAATCTAACGATTTGCCTCTCAGGAGACGAAAACAACTTTCCCATTGTTCAATCAGCCTCATTACGTAAGTCGTAAATTAGGTTAAATTGTACGACTCGACAACAGCAGCATTCAGCCTCATTGCGTAAGTCGTAAATTAGGTTAAATTGTACGACTCGACAACAGCAGCATTGTATATTGTCGTATTGAAATAAGTAAACGACCAAAAGCGTCGAAAAGTATACAGTGCTGCCAAGGTTTTCCGTTTTAATACACTAGTCGAGTGGAAATTTTAGGCAATGACGTGAAATTTTCGATACGATTCGACTCTCGAAAAACGACTTGCATTCGACACGACTCTCACAATGAGGGTTATGGTATCTGACTGTAATACCCTTAATACGTTCGCTGTTAAGCGGAAAGATTTTGCCGTCCCATTAAGTTGGAGTACACGAAAGAAACAAAGGAATCTGCTCTAAAAGATACAGCTTAAAAAAAAAACAAAGACTAGGCTCAATGAATTTTTGGACCCTTTTTTTTGTAGAGCTTGGTTAACATTTAGAAGTGTTAAAAAAACGATAGATACGAACGGAAAATAGCAAATTGAGAGTTTCGAATAGGAGATTATTCAAAACCCTTTTTTGAGAGAAAGTCGGCCTCCATGTAGGTGTACCTCGGGTTGGTGGATTCGGTATCCCAAATGACGCGCTGCTCGTTGATCGTTTGCTGATACCATTGGCGGTGACCTAAACTCCGGCATCACTCCCCAAAAACTCTTTACCTAAATTTCAATTGAATCACAAAAACATTGCATTTCGATTTGAACAGCCCAGCAAAGAAAAGAAGTTAATGATGACTAAATTTTTTATACTTTTAACCCAAGAACGAAAGAATACAAGATTGTGCATTCCCGACGGCGATGACATTTGTGGGTAAAAAGTAGTCTTGCATTTGTATATTCGTTGCATTTGTAAATTCACAACAATAAAATGCACACGGTTGCCATGGCAGCAAGCATAAAATTTACAAATGCAATTCCAACGGCAAACCCCAGGCCATTTCCACAAAATCCTGAACGGCCCTAATTTTTATTTCATTTCTCATGTTTTCAACACATCCCCCTTTTTAAAAAGCCCTACCCTGTTTTTGATACTATCTTTATAACGTTTTAACTTATCCTGTAAAATAAAAAATTTGTTGTATTTTTGGGTTCCGATCGGTTCGTATTTATGTTTTTTAAATTTTAATATTTTGATAGGCTTGTCCGATCTTGCATCCTTTAGTGCAAAGAAAACAAAGTTATTCCACTATTGTTTTATTTGCACTAAAGGATGCAAGATCGGACAAGCCTATCAAAATATTAAAACTTAAAAAACAAAAAATTTGTTGGTTAGGGCCTTTTCGAATTGAGGTAACAATCAGCCTCATTGCGAGAGTCGTGCCGAATGCAAGTCGTTTTTCGAGAGTCGAATCGTATCGAAAATTTAGCGTCATTGCCTAAAATTTCCACTCGACTAGTGTATTAAAACGGAAGAACTTGGCAGCACTGCATAGTTTTCGACAATTTTCGTCGTTTACTTATTTCAGCACGACAGTAGACAATGCTAATGTTGTCGAGTCGTACAATTCAGCCTAATTTACGACTTACGCAATGAGGCTGAATATGTATGTACATACAGTATTANCACGCTTTTCATTTTCAATTTCATAAATTGTTTATAATGACTTTTGCTAAAATTTCAAAATCAAAAGTTATCAAAACAAATTCTATGGGACTGAGAAGTATTATTTTCTACTTTTTAGTCCATTTATAAAAGCGTTGTATATTAAAAAATTTTTTTTTTATATTATTTATTTGAGTACACAGTTTTATAGCGCATTCAATTTTAGTCCAATAATGTGCAAGTTTCAAGTCGCTAAAGATTACCGTTGATTTTTTAGAATTTTATTTGTCTCATTTGCTTCCATATAACGACTAAACACAATTTATTTTTATATGGCAGAAACCCGCAACATCCTCGGCGAATAAAAAATTTAAAAAATCATCGGTAATTTTTAGCCACTTGAAACCTGCACATTATTAGACTAAAATCCAATGGGCTATAAAACTGCGTATTCAAAAAAAATTCTACCGCTTCTGAGAAAAAAGTTTGAAATTTGGGTGAAAATTTGTTGCACTTTTTTGCGGACTTTTAAAAGGTTTTAAACTTAAGTTTATGTGAGTTTTGTCAGAGAATGAACTGTATTTTAATTGAAAATTCTTAAAAATAAATAAATAAACATGAGTGGCAAACAATATGACTTTGAAATGGGGGTGCTATTGTATTGGCCAATACTGTATGTATATCTATTGATTCTATTTGTAGTTGATATTTGTAAAAGTGATTCAAGATGTTGTGAAATCCTACTTCCCCAGCCAGCCTATCGCTATCACTATGTCGTCACCATTGTAAGTTAAAAAGGGGATAGTAACTCATTACACAAAAACAACATACACTTTAATTTCTGCGAATTCTTAAATATTACGTAAATAAAAATTTTCAATTAAATAAAGCAGATTTTCAGTTTGTAAAAAAGTTCGTGTTTTTGTGTAACCAATTTTAAAACAAATTGGTAATATTCTTCTTTCATAGCATAATTTTGGCAATCTTATGGATATGTAAATAAATGAAATTTGTCAGCAACATAGGATATGCAAAAGCAGAAAAGAACGACAACAAATTAGTTAATTATTATAAGTTTTTGTTATTAATGATCAAACTTGGAATTAATTTGTTTAATTTACTAATTTTTGATTTAAAATAAGGTTTTTAACTCTGAATATAAAAAACGTTTTAATCGTGGTTAAATAAAAATGAAAAATACAAACAAACAAAATCCATAAGGGTTCCAGGTTTGCCATTACATTTGCAAACTATGCACATTTGCAAACCAGAATCCTTTCCATTTTCTAATTTGATTTTATCGAAAACTTTTCCTCTGTGAGTATCTTTTTCGACACTTCTCATCTTATCAACCCAGTAACTTCCATTCCTGTCGAAATAAATCCGTATGTCAGTATCGCCTTCGCATCACAAAGACGTGACGCTTTGGTGGCACAGTTCTTCTCGAAAGAGGATAATAATAATAATAATAGATTGGCGCTTACACATATGTTTGGCCGAGCTTCTCCTCCGACTTGTGGCGTGCGCCTTGATATTGTCACACAAAGCGGAGGGACCTACAGTTTTACGCCGACTCCGAACGGCGATTGTATTTTTATGAGAAGCTGCTTTTCATGGCAGAAATACACTCGGAGGTTTGCCATTGCCTGCCGACGAATGACCGCTGTTAAGAAAAAACCTTTTTTCTATATTTTTTGCGATGGGTTTGAACCCGGGTGCTGCGGAGTGGAAGCGCGCACTGCTACACCACAGCGGTCGAAAGCGGATAAGAAGTGCTTAGATTTGATAATTTTTACACTCGAATACATATACACTTTCCCATGTATATTAGTTACATAACATCGATTAAAATTTTAACATTGTTTCTCCGACACAAAGAGCGGAGGATTTTTGGGCATCATTGTTCTAGATCTATTCGATATCATCTAAATATTTAAGCAAACGCATGATGAATTGTAAACATCCGACAGATGATGTCGACGAAGATGACAAGTATCTTCTGCTATTTCCTCTCAAGGGGATAAATCTGAAACGGAAAATATTAAATATGGAAACCATGATTTTTTATAAAACATTTACATTTTTATTTTCTATGGGAATTAGCTGTATTGCACCCAACGCAGGTGTGCAAGGTTTCATGAATAAAAATGTCACAGTCGATACAATAAATTTGAGTGCATTTTTCACAGCGATATACATTTTTATCCGTTGCCTCCGTTAATGGTTTTTGACAAGCATAGCAATTTGCCGCCTGCCCATTAAATTCCAGTTCAGTAAAATGCTGAACAGGAAAGAGATGATGGTAAGAGCGAGCCAAATGTGGGGATGATACTAATGTTAAGCCACAAGTCTGGCATTCAACTGGTAACTCACAATATTTACTAAAACACTGAGGGCAATGATAACCGCCGGAAGTCAGTTTACTTGGTTCTTCTGTATTTTCGATATGACACATGCACATAGAAAGCGGCGGATCTTTTCCACCATCTGTCTTAGCATGTGGAAAACCCATTTTAATCAATGAGTTCTCCTGAGTTTGCGCTGCTGGAGGCGGATCTACGTGTGCTAGCAACTGATCGCGATAATGAGCATCGTCAAGTACAGCGCCGTAAGTACCTTGCGTTTGTTGTGTTAGGTGGCGACAAACGTGTATCTCAGCAGAAAGAGAGATTACGGAGCAGCGAATGCTGTCAACTTTGAGCGCATCAATTGTATTATTGATGTCGACAGGGTCGCATGTTGTCAAAGAACCCATTACTATCAGTATTTCTCGCGAGGCATGACTGGGTACAACTTTTAATGCTTTCATGGCCAAATCTAGACCATTTTGTAATGACGGCTCGCTTGTTAGTGGAATTTTACTAACGCTAAAGAGGGAAAAATTTTTGTATCTAATTGCTTTTTTATATGTATATATTAATACCTTTCAAGTGCTTTTAAATGTAACTTCGAGGTTCCAGTCAATTCAGTAAGCTTTTCCGCTCGTTTGCCTTTCAATACGATTAAGCCTAACTGGCTGATAGGATTCTGGTCGAAAAATTCCTCTATGAAGATTTCTAAAAGCTAAAATATAGTTTTAATATCGTCTGATAACTTAACCCTTAATATTAAATGTACTTTCAAGGTACATAACATTCGAGTGGGTTTCAAATCAGGCACTGTCATTGACTCGGAACAATCCAGTACAATGTATAGGTGTCTCATCATTCCCAAACGGTTTTGTTGTGTTTTTTGCGCCAGCCGTTTGCGCTTAGCCTTTTGTATAATTTCAGCAATGGCGCCATCCAATAGTCCATCATCATCTTCTTTGATCGCCTCCCTATGAAACCAATAGGCATATGAAATGCAAATCCAATGATTTGAAATTTGATTTTACCATGTTTTCTCATATCCTGTTTCCCAACGATATTCTTTTGGATCTTCTCCATCTATATCCGCCATTTTTATATATTTCTGCTAAGAACAACTGCAGGTCGAAAATATAAAGATTAGAAATTTAATAGCAATTTGTCCAAGAAAACTTATCTGCAAACAGCTGATAAATTCTTGTTTTTTTCGGCGTCTATCTGCCAAGGCGTATTTATACAAGGTGGTTTTACTGGCGAATTAAGATTTTCGCCGCGATACTTATTAATGTCAAAATTATGTGTTTTGTTACGATTATCCTTGAAACCTCATCCGGATTTCCCAAATCTCTCGGTTCGTATCGCTGGATTGTTAAATAAATGCAATCGATGACCAAATTGTAGTACAATTAACTTTATTGTACAACAAACAATTTACAATACTCGCTAATACAGTAAAAACACTTTACAATACTTGTTAAAGCAATAACAGCGCTTAACTAAACTCGGTAACACAATTAAACTTATATCTTGCTTATTCGCAACTCGCTTCTCTGCTCACTTTACTTGTAGCTTGCTGTCTTGTAACTCACTCACCTCGCGGTGGCGGCGCCCTTATATACCTGCGCGGGCACTTATGGCAACTCTAGAACATTCTGAAGTTTATCGCTCATTCTCTTTCTCTCGCTGTTCGCAGTGTTCATCCAACTTGACGTTTCTCTTTGTGGAACATTCTACGTCATTCCTCGAACATTCTGCCTATTTCTCGTTGTTCGCTTTGTGTTGCCGCAGTATTCGCCACACTGCCCTCCACCTAAGTCTGATCGTCCCGATCAGACACACTTGCCGCTCCAACCGCTGCAAGTCTTTCCAAGTGGGCCACTTTCATCTTGGTCCTCGGTCTCCCCATTGTCTGGATTCGATGCACTGCGTCCTTCAACCGTTTGTCAATCCTATATGGACCTTCCCAGTTACGCTGTTGTTCAGAGGTGAAGCCTTTCTTCGGCTGCGGCATGTGCAACAACACTGAATCACCTTCTTGTGGCTCCTCTCGGCTCGATGCGTTACTGGACATTGCTTCCAGCTTATCTCCGGTGATGCACCATCTCACATGGTCGTGCTGCTGCCGGCCACTGGTGGTGACCAGACCATGTCTCTTCTCATGGGCACCCTTTTCGCCAGATCTGTGCCGCATCATCTGTCCATGACACCCACACTCCCGCCTTCGTGCTGCAATGCCTTTAGCACATCTTGCTAAATCCGGTTCCTCACGCTTAAACTTTCCCAGTGTTTCCGCATCTCGCTCTCGCCGGCGTCAACCTCATTGACCGGACATGTATAACCTCATCCTTGGCTTCCGGCTTAACTGCTCGTCTTTTCCGACCACCTTTTTCGGGACACTTCAAAGCGCGCCTACTGCTTTCACAGCCGCTTCCATTTCCGGCCACCGGCGTATCACCATTGCAACGTGGTTCAGTGGCTTTCCTCCTGCCGGAAACACTGCCTGGCTTGCCATGACCACTTCCTTGTTGCGACCTCTTCTTCACTGAGCTAGCGGAACCGTCACGCTTTTCCGGTATCGGTGAACCGCTTCCTTCTCCTGATGAAACCACTCCGTCTCCATCACTGCCAACCTCCGCCCAACTAACCGCTTAAGTTTCTGGTGGAATTGTCGACACTTCCTCTAAGACTAACCGTCTGCTGTAGTACTGGCTGCCGTAACCAACCCTAAGTGGCACTTTCCTGTGACGATCTGTCAGGATCATTCTCTGGAGATCAATCTTCATGCCTTGGCCTAGTAAGAAATCCACGCCGATGATGACTTCATCCACAATGTCTGCCACTATAACCTTAGTGTACGAGGCCACATCGTCGATTATTACCTCGCATGGTACTTCTCCTAACACTTGGGTGCGTTCACCAGTTGCAGTCTGCAGCTTTGCTCCAGGTAGTGGCTTCACATAAAAAGTGGCCAAATCGGTCGAATAATGGAATGTGTCGCTACAGTATCCACCTGCCCATTCACACATCCACCAATAGTGAGGTTGCTCGCATTCCGGCCAATTTGTGAGACGGAGATTATGGGCCCTTCAACTTCTGGAGCCAGCACGCGGCCCTTCCTGCTGGCTCGTTTCAGTTTAACGACTGATTGGAGTTGGCTTCGTCTCCCTCAGCCCTGCGTTTGCGTCCTGCTGAATTGTTGACCCCACTGGAATTTGCACTGCAATCTCGGGCGAAGTGGCCTGGCTTCCCACATTTAAAACATTTGTCAGAGCCATGCTTTTTCTGGTTGGATAATCTTCTTCAGCATTTCCTTTGTCTCGTCCGGTGTCTCCACTTCCACGCGATGTGCTTCGTAGGCTGGTCTGCTTAGGAGCGCCGCCGTCTCACGCGTCTGAGCATACGAGACAGTTTCAGCAAATGTTGGCTTTGGATTCGCGTACGTCTCTCGCTTGGTATACACGTCCCGCATTCCGTTGATGAACCTCTGGATTTTTACTCTTTCGAGGTGCTCACCAGATGCATCTCCAATTGCCAAATGAGCCAACCTTTCAACCTCAGAGGCGAATTCCTGTAAAGTCTCGTTGGATTTCTGGCAGCGATTCTCCAGTTCCATCTGGTAAATCTGTCTCCGGTGCTCGCTACCATAACGTCTTTCCACTGCACCCATTAACGCATCGTAACTGTTCCTTTCACAGTCGGGAATAGTCTGCAAGATTTCTGCCGCAGGTTTCTGCC